TCCTCCTCCTCCTCCTCGTCTTCCTACCCCCGAGCTGGTCCCAGGAGGTCTAGCTAGCGTGGCCCAAAACAGCTTCGAGATCGGTCGAGACAGCTGAGCACGACCGAGGCCACCTCCCGACGGCCTCCAGCCGAGCAGAGCCCCTGGAGCAGAGCAGTGGCCGTTCGCCCCCCCCCCTCCCTCCCGCCCCCGTGCTTCTGGGGGGGGGCCCACCGAGAGGGCCCGAAGGCACGGCACGTTTCCTTGGGAGGCGCCGCGCTCGTTCCGAGCCCCGCGCCCGCGGGAGCGAGGAGCCGCGGGCCCGGCGGCGGCGGCGGAGGGCAAGCTGAATCGTTCGGCCACGCCCTCCCTCCCCATTCGTGATATCCACCCGATCGACCTGAGATCAAGATGGCGTGCGGGAGTGAGATCAAATCTCACGGGAAACAGATATTGGAGCTCTAACGAATTGTTCCATTTCGAGAACCTCGTTTTCAATCGGCCCAGAGTCGTCAAAGCATCCGTCGAGATCTGTGTTGTCCAAAAGGGTTCGGGGGCCCCCCGAGTCCCTCGAAAGGCTTGAAGCGCTGCCGTGGGAAGCATCGCCCGCGGGGGGTTTTGGGATCCAGCGCCCTCGAGGAAGGCGGCGGGGACCGACCGACTCCGCGGCGGCGGCGGGGCGGGGGGCAGGGCGACTCGTTCGGCCGCGCTCTGCCTCCCCGTGGGTTCGGCGGCCTCCCGAACCCCCGAGGGCACGAGAGGTTTCCATCGGAAGCGTCGCCCTCGGAGCGAGGGGAACTCCCGCGCCCGCAAGAAAAGAGGCGGGGGCCGAACAATTCAAGGAAGCCTCTAAGGAGCCTCCTAAGGAGCCTCTAAGGAAACCTCTAAGGAGCCTGTAAGAAGGAGCTTCCAGGGAAGCTTCTCATGAGCTTCCAAGGAAACCTAAGGAGCCTGTAAGGAGCCTGTAAGAAGTTTCAAAGGAAACTTCCCGATGAGCCAATAAGAAGGAGATGTTTAAAGAAACCTTTAGGGAGCCTCCAAGGAGCCTCCGAGGAGCCTGCAAGGAGCTTCCAAAAAGCCTCCTAAGAGCCTCGGTAAGGAGCCTCTAAGCTCTAAGGAGCCTCTATAAGGCGCCTCTAAGGAACTTCCATAAAGAGCCTCTAAGGAGCCTCCATAAGGAACCTCGGAGAAACTTTTGAAAAGTTCCTAAAAAGCTTAAGAAGCGGTTGCAGTTGGACGTTCGACGTTGTCGGAATCCGCCCCAGCTGGTTCTAATGTTTCCTATGTTCGCTTCGACCCCTCCCCAAAGGGAGGGAGGGTTCGAGCCCCCCCCGAATTGCATCGGGGGGGGGTTCGAACCCAGTCCTTCACGCACTGCAACCGACAAGCGGCGAGCGCCGGCGTCGGCGCCGACGCCGGCGCCGTCGGGCAGCGACGGCGACGACGACGACGACGACGACCGACACTTAGCAGCATGCTATTACGGCTGGATCGAGCCCTAGTTCGATTTTAATGGAGCTGGCTCGAGCCCTCGTAGGATTCAAGTAGAGCTTGACCCCACAATACTAGGATTCTATCACACCTAGAACTGCATCCGGCTAAAGTCGAATATTATGAATGCTGGATCGAGCTCGGTCGGATGCTCTCGAAGTTAGATCCAGCTCTGATGGGATTATATGACAGCTGGATCCATGTATAGTAGAATTCTATTACACTTGGGCCGAGCCAGATTACGAAGCTACGAATTTGTGCGTCCCGCTATGGCAGAATTCGAGTAACGTTTAATCGAGCACTAATTTGATTTTGATTAGATTAGGGGGAGGGGGGCGGGGGCGGCAATACGAACACCCCCTTTGGCACAGGGGGCTGGGGGCCCGGGGCTGGTTCGAACCGCCCCCCTTTGGGAAGGAGAGGGTGCGGTTAGAAAGGCCGATGTCCGGGGTGGTGGCGGTCAATGTTTCTAGGCGTTCCCAATGTTTTTCCCAAGCATCCTGTGGTGTTGGGTCTTCGTTTTGAAGAGACAGCGACCCGCATTCCTCTCTTCCTCTCCTTCTCCGCCCCCTCCTCCCTCCTCCCATCCTTGCCTCTGCTCACCGCATCTGCTCACCGCATGTCCACAATTTCGGCACACCCCTCACATGTTTCGTGGCCCCATAGGAGTTCCACCGCAGGCCCCAATCGGGGTGCCCGCATGCGTCCGCCACACCCAGTGCAGCGCTTCGTGGCCCCATAGGGAGCCCCACCGAAGGTCCCACTAGGGGTGCCCGCACGCGCCCGCCACACCCATTACAGCGTTTCGTGGCCACATAGGGAACTCCACCGAAGGCCCCAGTGGGGGTTGTCCGCATGCGTCCGCCACACCAGGTACAGCGCTTCGTGGCCCCATAGGGAGCTCAACCGAAGGCCCCAGCGGGGGTACCCGCGTGCGTCCGCCACACCCTGCACAGCGTCTCGTAGCCCCATAGGGAGCTCAACCGCCACACCCAGTACAGCGTTCCGTGGCCCCAAGGGAGCTCCACCGAGGGCCCCACTAGGGGTTCCCGCACGCGTCCGCCACACCCAGTACAGCGTTTCGTGGCCACCTAGGGAACTTCACCGAAGGCCCAGTGGGGGGTGCCCGCGTGCGTCCCAGTACAGCGCTTCGTGGCCCCACAGTGAGCTCCACCGAAGGCCCCAGCGGGGGTGCCCGCATGCGTCCGCCACACCCCGCACAGCGTCTCGTAGCCCCATAGGGAGCTCAACCGCCACACCCAGTACAGCGTTTCGTGGCCCCTCTGGGAGCTCCACCGAAGGCCCCAGTAGGGGTGCCCGCATGCGTCCGCCACACCCCGTACAGCGTCGTGGCCCCATAGGGAGCTCCACAGAAGGCCCTAGCGCGGGTGCCCGCATGCGTCCGCCACACCCAGTACAGCGTTTCCTGGTCCCATATGGAGCTCCACCGAAGGCCTCAGTGGGGGGTGCCCGTGCGCGTCCGCCACACCCAGTACAGCGCTTCGTGGCCCCATAGGGAGCTCAACCGAAGGCCCCAGCGGGGGTGCCCGCATGCGTCCGCCACACCCAGTACAGCGCTTCGTGGCCCCATAGGGAGCTCCACCGCCACACCCACTACAGCGCTTCGTGGCCTCACCAGGGAGCTCCACCGAAAGTTTGCAGACGTCCCACCCAGTTGTCCCCCCTGCTGCCAGCACTGCCCCGCGCATGGTTTTTCGTGCGGCGTGCTGCCTATGAGAGCAGAGGGTATACCGCGTGCGCTATTCGGGGTGTGCGGGCCCTCCTCCGTCGTCTCATCTTCCTCGTGGTCCTGCAGCTGCATGTGGTTGGGTTTTTCGTCAGGCTAATTTTTAGGCGGATGGGGGCGGCTCCGACGTGTCCAATTGTTTTTTCTATGCAAGCGTCCACGAAACGCATTGTCTCTGCTGTTTCTGCCTGCTCGCATGCCGCCAAACAGCCCACGCATCGCCACGCTGTGCAGGGACGAGCCCGTGTGTTTCTGATTGGGCCATCGTTATCAAGACACACACGCGTTGTTATTCATCCTGTGGCGCCGAATTGACTTTCTCTGTCGAGGAGCGCTCCATCGACGGCCTCACATTGTTTTATTGTCGAGGGCTACGTTTGATGTCGAACAGCTTTGTTGGGCCCGCAGTTTGCAGCATCAGCGGCTGCCTATTGAGACTCCCTTGAATTTCCCTTCGCGCCGGTCACACTGACGGGTGGGACCGTTTTCATTGCTAGCGGTTCCCCTCCTTCGCCTTCTCTTCCCTCACCAGTGAGCGCGTTGACCTTCAGATGTTGTTCTGCAAATCGGTGTGCCTACTGTGGCTCAGCTGGGGCCCCTCTGTGGAGGGTGGGGGTCGTCGTGGATGGCGGTCCGAGACGGTCCAGCGCAAGGATGCGGGTGTGCCCTCTGTATGCGGACGTGCTGCTGGGGCTTGGCGGGGGCCCCTGACGACAGCAGGAGTCCGCTTGACGCACGGCCCAAGACCGCCTGGCCACGGTATGCGGGCGTGCCCGCTCGGGTTGGACGAAAACTTTTCGTCCGACCCGAGCGGGCACGCCCGATTTAGGAGGGAATTCTGAGGGAATTCAGAAGAGCTGCCGGGCAAGATCGGCTGCGCGTGGTTGATTTCGGCCCTGTCGCCGAGCACCTTCCTCGATACATTGGCGCACCTGGAGTCGGGAGGCGCTGGAACAGCCAGTTGCATGCATTAGGGGGCCACGTGCGAACCCTACCCCTGCCCCCCACGATTTCTGAGGGGGAGGGTGGGGTTCACGCTGTCCAGGAGCTCCAGAGCGAAGCGAACCCCACCCTCCCCCTCAGAAGTCGTGGGGGGTAGGGGGTAGATCAGAGAAACTATGGATTCAGTTTGTGTCGGGGTTTCGGTTTTCTGCTATGCCTGGCGGCCCATAGGGGCCAGACGGATCGCGAGGAGGCGGAGGAGGAGGCGGAGGAGGAGGAGGCGGAGGAGGAGGAGGAGGAGGAGGAGGAGGAGGAGGGGCCATCTGTGGTTGTGGCTCCCCGCACGTGGCCCCCTAATGCAGCGGAGTTGCCCCCCCCCCCCCCGTTCGTTCCCCCCCCCCTTGCCGTGCCTCCCCCGTCGTCCGCCCCCCCCCCCCCCCCCACACTGCGCGTGGACCTCCCAGGGCGCTGCGCCGGGTCTCGCCAGCAGGCCCCGAAGCGATCAGAGCGGTGATCCGAGAGGCCAAACACCCCCAAGAGACCCCCAAGAGAGCCCCAAGATGGTCCAAGAGACCCCAAGAGAGCCTCTAGACGGCCTGGATGACTCCAAGACTGCCCAAGGAAGCCCCAAATGACCCCCAAAGAGGCCAAACAGGCCCTCACAAGGCCCCGAAGCGATCAGAGCGGTGATTAGAGAGGCCGAAGGCTGACCCAAGACAGCACAAGAGCGCTCCAAGACTGACCCAGAGGGCCTCCCCGTAGCCAGTTTGCGTGTCGAGACACGTCTTCTTCAGCACCCAGGCGTTCGAAGTTTGACAGCTTTCACTTCCAGCACGGTGTCATGACGTCGATAGCGTCGGCGGCTGCCCGCTCAGTCGTCGCCGTCCTTTGCGTCTTCACAATGGCCGATGCCACAGTCAAGGACAAGTTTTGGGGATACCTCGACGAGATGGCAGGTGAGGGGAAGGAGAGAAGCGATGTGACCACCGTTGCAGAGATACTCGACCGTGGCGCTGGTGTGCAGATTGAGGACTGTGGCGGTAAGAGTGACTTGATGTCTACCACTCGCGCGGAGTTCGACCGGGCCCACCTCCAGGTGCGCGCCTACGGGGACCTCTCGAGCAACGTGTCAGGGGGGACCCTCCACGTCAAGCTGTACAAGGGCTCGGCTGCCGAAGGCTCGTCGACAGGAGACTGGGTGAAGCGTGAACTCGCATGGCACAGCGTCCCTCACGCGTACGAGGAGGACCTGTGCAGGCACCTCGGCAGAAGCCACAGCAGGCGCGGGTGCCCCCTGCCGCCCGGGCGCACGGAGCTGCGCCTCGCCCTCGACACGCTCCCCCCCATGGTGGTGGCCGGCGGCTACCGGCTGAAGATCAGGGCCGTCGATTCCGCGGGCAGGGCCATGACGTGCTTGCGGGTGCACGTGGATGTCCCCCGAGGCAAGAGTGGCGAGTTGTTCCGCAGGGTCCAAGCGCTGCCCGTGGCACATGCAGGACGGGTTCTGATGTCTGGAGCCGAAAGTTGCAACTGTCCCTACTCAGACCCCGTATGTGGTGAAGACGGCCAGACGTATGACAGCACCTGCCTGTCAAGCCAGCTGTGCGAATATTGAACCAGCTTACTTGGGCGAGTGTGACTACCAGGTAGTTCGTGATGAGCGAGCCCTCAGTTCGTGGTGGACAAAGACCGAACAGGAGCGAGACCTGTGCGAAGATGACGATGCCGCCGTCGTTTTTTTAGCCCAACAGGGCAATGTTTCCGGGGTCACTGGTTGCGGGGATGTTGCTGGCATGTGCTTCCTCAGCGAAGAGGTGCAAGGCGTCTGCTGCCAAACATGTGCTGCAGCTATGACGGAGTGCAACGACTATAACGACGTACTCGCGACATTAGATCTAGGGCATGACGATTGCAGCGAAGTGGCTGGCTGGGGCTTGTGTGATATGATTTCTGCAGTATTCGGGGGAGTGTGTTGCGAAGCATGCTCTTCGGAGGCCACGACAACGACCGACAAGGAGCTCTGCGCGGACGGCTGCTACAACGGGTGGCCGGGCGACGGCTACTGCGACAGCGTGTGCAACAATTGGGAGTGCAATTATGACGGAGGCGACTGCGACGCCACGCCAGAGCCAGAGCCAGAGCCTGAGCCCGAGTGGTGGACAACGACCGACAAGAAGCTCTGCGCGGACGGCTGCTACAACGGGTGGCCGGGCGACGGCTACTGCGACAGCGTGTGCAACAATTGGGAGTGCAATTATGACGGAGGCGACTGCGACGCCACGCCAGAGCCAGAGCCAGAGCCTGAGCCCGAGTGGTGGACAACGACCCCAGACGTGTGCGAAGATGACGATGCCGCCATCGTTTTTTTAGCCCAACAAGGCAATGCTTCCGGGGTCACTGGTTGCGGGGATGTTGCTGGCCTGTGTTTCCTCAGCGAAGAGGTGCGAGGCGTCTGCTGCCAAACGTGTGCTGCAGCTATGACGGAGTGCAACGACTATAACGACGTACTCGCGACATTAGATCTAGGGCATGACGATTGCAGCGAAGTGGCTGGCTGGGGCTTGTGTGATATGATTTCTAAAGTATTCGGAGGATTGTGTTGCGAAGCATGCTCTTCGGAGGCCACGACAACGACCGACAAGGAGCTCTGCGCGGACGGCTGCTACAACGGGTGGCCGGGCGACGGCTACTGCGACAGCGTGTGCAACAATTGGGAGTGCAACTATGACGGAGGCGACTGCGACGCCACGCCAGAGCCAGAGCCAGAGCCTGAGCCCGAGTGGTGGACAACGACCGACAAGGAGCTCTGCGCGGACGGCTGCTACAACGGGTGGCCGGGCGACGGCTACTGCGACAGCGTGTGCAACAATTGGGAGTGCAATTATGACGGAGGCGACTGCGACGCCACGCCAGAGCCAGAGCCAGAGCCTGAGCCCGAGTGGTGGACAACGACCCCAGACGTGTGCGAAGATGACGATGTCGCCATCGTTTTTTTAGCCCAACAGGGCAATGCTTCCGGGGTCACTGGTTGCGGGGATGTTGCTGGCCTGTGTTTCCTCAGCGAAGAGGTGCGAGGCGTCTGCTGCCAAACGTGTGCTGCAGCTATGACGGAGTGCAACGACTATAACGACGTACTCGCGACATTAGATCTAGGGCATGACGATTGCAGCGAAGTGGCTGGCTGGGGCTTGTGTGATATGATTTCTAAAGTATTCGGGGGATTGTGTTGCGAAGCATGCTCTTCGGAGGCCACGACAACGACCGACAAGGAGCTCTGCGCGGACGGCTGCTACAACGGGTGGCCGGGCGACGGCTACTGCGACAGCGTGTGCAACAATTGGGAGTGCAACTATGACGGAGGCGACTGCGACGCCACGCCAGAGCCAGAGCCAGAGCCTGAGCCCGAGTGGTGGACAACGACCGACAAGGAGCTCTGCGCGGACGGCTGCTACAACGGGTGGCCGGGCGACGGCTACTGCGACAGCGTGTGCAACAATTGGGAGTGCAATTATGACGGAGGCGACTGCGACGAAAATCCGCCGACCGACCCTGAAGGACTTGACTGCGGTCAGTGTACCGATGATGATGGGGACTGCGCGTTTAACGTATCCACAGAGTTTCCTTCGTGCGGATCAGGATACCAGGTTGTGTACGGGAACTACTGCTGTGACTACTGCGACGATCCGAGCTTGCAGTTTTTCGGTTGCGTCTATGTCGGCTGGTCAGGTGCTTGGGCTTACAGTCCTACACTCGTGCCCTTGCTGTTGGGCGTGACTGCGGTGTTGCAGTGAGGCAGTGCCGCGGCGCAGAAGGCCGCCCAGGCACTTCGGTGGTGCGGGGCCCTCGGGCGGAGCCGCTCTTGCCCAGCCGAGTCCTTTTTGGAATGCCGGATCTCCTTTTCGCATGAGGAGGATGAGGAGGTGGAGGGGGTGGGGTCCTGGCCGGGGGCGGGGGCCGTGGCCGTGGCTGGTGCTCTGCGGTGAGGTCTTGGGGGAGCTTCGAAGTCACCGCACGGTATGCCGCCGCACCAAGTGGTGCGCCGCGCGCCGGTGTCGGGGGATCCCGACCTCAACACGAGTACGTATGTTGCCTGTCTGGTCGCGCGTGTCGCGCGGTGGCTCGGGCTATTTCCATATCTGCCTGGAGCTGTTCAGCTGATCTTGCTCCTTAAAGACAAGCCAGCAGCAATATGATCTTGCTCGCTGACAGTCAGCTCGTCGACCATCGTTCCAACAAAAACGAGGACCCAGAGGTCCTCCAGAGGCCCCCAAGACGGCCCAGGAGGCCCTCAACAGGGCTCCCAGAACGCAAACATCGCTTCATTCCTTTAGGGAAACGTACCTTTTCAGCGCATTCGCTGTTCGGGTCTTAGCGGCGTCCAGAACAGCCACGAAGGCCTCCAGTATCGCCCCAAGACGGCCCAGGAGACCCCTAAGAGAGTTTCTAGACGGCCTAAATGGCCCCAGGACTGCCCAAGGAAATTTCAAATGAGCCAACAAGAGGCTCAAGAGGCCTTCACAAGGCCCCCAAGAGAAGGCCAAGAATTCCATGGGAGGCCCCCCTAAAAGCCATGGGAGGCCAACAGGAGGGCCTACGTAGCCCCCGGAAGGTCCGTAGAGGGCCCAAGTTCCCCAACACGGCCCAAGATAACCCCAAAATAGCCCCAAGACGGCTCGAGACGGCTCCAAGTTGGCCGGCCCACCAGGGCTCCAACAAGGCCCACACGGCGTTTTCCACCAAACTGACCCGAATCCCAGGCTCGCAACCACAAATGAGGGAAATCTGTCGCGAACCCGGGATTGGGTGCATTCCTTGAGAATTATTTGCGTTCGCGCGCCCCGTTGCGACCCGCTGCAACCCGTTGCAACCTTCCTCGCCGTCCCACGACGGCGCCCTCCTCCTCCTCCTCCTCCTCCTCCTCCTCCTCTTCTGTCTGCCGCTCTACCACTCGTCCTCCACCACATCCGCTTGCTTTCCTCGCTCTCCGAGGTTCCCTCCCTCCTAACCTTCGCCCTCCACCTGGCGCCTTTCGGGAGCCCCCAGAGGCCCGGGAAGGGCCAGGGACCGCCCGAGTGTTCGAAGACTTTTGGAAACCACCGCAGGGAAGGGGCCAAATGTCCAAGGCCACTAGGTATGGTGCGAACGACCAACATATGCAAAGCCTCAAGGACCAAGGAGCATGGCGCGAAGCGCCAATGCAGTCTTTTACAAACATAAGTATACATGTACATCTGCTCATACACACATATTTATGTATGCATTTAAAACTGTGGTATACACACATAATTAGTTATATGTATACGCATATATGTATGTGTTCATATAAATACACACCTGTGTGCGCCGAACAAAACATATGGTGCAACCTGCGTGGTTCAATATGCGTTGAGCAAACTGTCTTGTGCAGTCTAGCTGGTGCAAACTGGATGGCGCCATATCTGATGTGCACTCTATGTGCTGCAAGCTATGTTGTGCAGTCGATGTGGTGCTAAGTATTTGGCGCATTCTTTGTAGCGCAAGATCTGTAGGCCGACCTACGTGGTGCAATCTATGCGGTGCAAACGTCGCGGTGCCATTCATGCGGTGCTGTTCATTTGGGGAACTCGCAGCTGTAAACTCCACTGCTCGCGCAAAGATCCCACCCGCCCGCCCGCAATTTGTTTTGCAAAACGCGAACGGCGGCGATTGCCATGAGTAGTTGGTGTTGGCTGGTGCATCTTTGCGGCCGCGGCAGCCCGCACATGTATTTGCGCGCAGCGTCCAGCTAGCTTGGCGCGACCGACGCGGCCGCGGAGGCGCTGACCGCTGGGCACATCCCAGCGGGCACTTCAGTGCGAGTCGGTAACTGCGCGCGCGGTATCGTGGCGACGTCGACAAGAGTAGACACAATGATGATAGTAGCGATGCTGGTGGCGATGCTGACAACGACGAAGGCGCCGCCAGTTACGGCGCCGATGCTGATCACGCCGGCGACAATAACGGCGTCCTCGCGTCGGCGATGAAGGTTTCGGATGCAGTTCGACATGCGCACGCGGCCGGCGCGCGAGAGTGGCCTGCATGGTTGTCATTTGACACGGATCCTGCCCCCCTTCCCCCCAGCACGCGCGCAAGGGCGGTTGAGTGATTTCGGCATGCGGCGCGAGAGGCCCGTTTGGCAGCATGCATTGAAAAAGTTGAACAGCCAACGGTTTTCTCAACATTCGCAAAAGCGCGAGCGCAGGCTGTTTCAAAATTGCTGCTTCCAAGAAATATGTGCTGATGGTTTCTCGGCGCTCGGTTTTGAGCTTCTGACGACACCTAAATTGTTTGACCGATTTGGGCATGCTCGCGCGACGACGCGAGCGCGCACTTCGTCCCATGTGTTGCCAAATATTCTCGCGACAACACGCGCGCGAGAGCGTTCGAACGATTCCGACGCGCGCGATACCCGTCCGGTACCCTTCTACGAACATGTTGAACGTTTATGGTTTTATCCAGAAGTCGTAAGAGCACGCGCATGCTGTTTTCTTTGAAACTATGGATTGCGTTACATGTGTTTTATACGTTTTCTTCTGACACTTAGTTTTGAAATCTCTACGGGAACTAAGGTTGTTGAAGGATTCAAGCATGCGCGCGCGACGACGCGCGCCCGTGCACTCCGTCACATCTGTCACATCTGTATTGGAAACTGGTGAATTCTGATACGCAGGTGTGCGCGCATATCTATTTCGTTTTGCAAAGGGTGACGGGAGGTGTCAATACCGGCTGGGTTTGGGCGGTACGAGTGCAATTTTAGGATGGACGATGGGACAGAATCATATGTAAATGGTTATACGAAAAGTACCGATAATCAGAGAACGGGGGGGGGTATACGTGATATATAAAGCAAGGAGACATGAACGAGCTGGCCAAGTCCATGCTCTTGCCAACACCCCACCCGCCCACCACCAATTTGATTTGATAAACCCACGCAGCGGCGATTGCGATGAGTGCTTAGCGTTGACGCGTGAATTTCTGCGGCTGCGCCATCCCGCGCATGCTCGCACGCGCAGCGGCCAGCTAGGTTGGCGCGACCGACGCGGCCGCGGTGGCGCTGACCTCTGGGCAGTTCCCAGCGGGCACTTCAGTGCGAGTCGGTAATTTGGGCGGGCGCGGTATCATGGCGACGCCGACAACGGTGGACACGATCACGGGAGTAGCGATGTTGACGGGGGTGGCGATGACGACGGCAAGGCCAATAACGGTGGCGATGTTGATCGCGCCCGCCGGTAACTATGACGATGTCCTCGCGTCGGCGAACGAAGAAGGTTCCAGAAAGAGTTGGACATGCGCACGCGGCCGACGCGCGTGCGGCCCCCGCTGCATTATTCGACATCGAACGCGCCCCCCCCCCCCCCCCCCCCCCCCCCGCACGCGCGGCGCGCGCGCGCGTGCACTTCGTCACTTTTTTGTTAGTTGCACGGGGTCCTTGTAAACTGATGGTTTTTGATAAGATAGAGCGCGCACATGTTTAAACATTGCAGAGGATGGCGGGTTGGGGCCGATACCTGCTGGGTTGGGATGCAACTCGTATGTAGGATGGACGAGGGTCAGGATCATGAGTTCTCAAGCGAGAGCAACAACCGATAGGTCCAAAGGGGGGGATTGGGGCTGATGGTTTTTTAGGAAAGGATAATATTTCATGTGGCGCCGTAGCACCCCGCTGATGCGGATAAAAGTGAGGGGGCGGTGGGGGCGCTGGCAGATTGCGAGACTTCGGAGAAGTCCGCCGCAGGCGCAGAGCATCAGTAATTATATAACGAGCCCGCCGCAATCGCCGACTTTTTCCTTAAACCAATGTGTGTCGGTCGCGGGTGGATCGCGGGTGGGTCGCAAATGGGTCGCGGGTGGGTCGCTGTTGGGTCGCGGGCGGGTCGTGGAGTCGCGGGTGTAGAGGGCGGAACATCCACCACACAATAATCACCCCTACAAACGAAGCCGTTTAGTAAACGCACACAAGGAATGAATCGAACATGTCAGGGCGGTTCAGTCAACGCCCGGGGCCGTTTAGTAAACGTCAAATGTCGGGTCCGGGTGGTTTTTCCTCCCTTGAGCGTGGGTCGTGGGGTAGGTCGCGGGTGGGTCGCGGGGTGGATCGCGGGTGGGTCGCGGATGGGTCGCGGATGGGTCGCGGGGTGGATCCCAAGTGGGTCGCGGGGTAGGACGCGGGTGGGTCGCGGGTGGGTCGGGTGGGTCGCGGGGTGGGTCGCGGGTGGGTCGCGGGTGGGGTGGGTCGCGGGGTGGGTCGCGGGGTGTGTCAAAGGGTGGGTCGCGGGGTGGGTCGCGGGTGGGTCGCGGGTGGGACGACGACAAAACAGTAAAAGCAACAACAACAATGCAACAAACAGATTTTCCACCACGAATTCTTTGATTCAGCCACGCGCCCAGGGACAATGAATGACCGTTCGCCCCCTTCACTCTGATGAATTTCTGTTCGCGGTGAGTTGTCAATCACCCCGCCCCACTCGCAACTTGGTTTGCACAATCCAATGCGGCGGCGATTGCGATGAGTGCCTGGTAATTGGCTGGTGCATCTCTGCGACCTCGCTAGCCCGCGCGTGCTCGCACGCGCAGCGGCCAATTAGCTCGGCGCGACCGACGCTGCCCCGGTGGCGCTGGCCACTAGGCATTTCACAGCGGGCACTTCAGTGCGAGTCGGCGATTCGGGCGGGCGCGGTATCATGGCGACGCTGGCGACGGTGGACACGAGGATGATAGCAACGATGTTGCTGACGATGTTGACAACGACGACGGCAAGTCCAGTGACGGCGCC